TGGACAGCAGATTTGGGGTGATAGGGACATGTTTCTAAGTTGTTCCATAAGTAGGACATTTGCAGGCAGATAGAAACAAGGGGCAAACAGTGGCTCAGTACAGGGACTGAGTTAAGTCAGGGGTGTTTTCTGAAGATGGGGAGGGACCCAGGCACAGGTGGCCACCCGGGCAAGTTTCAGTGAGGAAGGAGGCTGACAGTGGACGTCTCTGAGCCCCCTCACCAGGGGCTGTGCCCAAGGGCTCAGTCTGGTCTCTGCGCCCCCACCTCTGGGAGCCTCGTTGCCCCTCCTCCTCTCCCCGGGCGTATGATGCTGTGATGCGTGTTCTCAGGAAGTAGCCAGCGCTCTGGGCCCAGACCCATCCTTCCAAGGGAGCGCCAGGGTCCATCTGGTCCAGTGTGGCCCCCACGGCATCTTCGGCCTTGTCATCTCCAGCATGGCCATGCTTGGCTCCCTCCTTGGTAAGCACGTGGTACCAAGCCCAGGCTCTCCCAGAGAAAGTGGGTGGAGTGAGGGCGTGGCTGCTTTCCTCCTGGAAGGGGAAGGCGACCGCACTGCGAGGCGCAGCTGCAGCCCCTAGAAATCTCTCAGCTCTGTCCCAGGGTTCAGGAGGCCAGGGTCTGGCAGGGACACAGAAGGCCAGGTAGGAAGACAGTCTTTGGGGAGGCAAGGGCCCCAGAAGGGCTGGAACTGCTCTTAAAAGGGAATCGAGACAGGGTGGGGCCAACAGGCGGTGTGTATGCCTCCCCAGACAGGCCAGGTCCTTCAGCTTTTCGCCCCCAAACTCTTCCAGGACCACCTGTGTCCAGCTCCCGGCTGCAAAGGCGTCGCTGGACTGCAGGCCCGGCATACCCTGTCCCCCAGGCCCCCAGCATCCCTCCCCACATTCCAAACCCAGTGATCTGCTTGATAGAAGAGGACGTGATTCTTTTCCAGCTTCAGATTCACCCTGACAGTGAGTCTGCCCCTCGGCCCCGCCCTCCCGCTCTGGCTCCCTCATCCCTCCCTATCCGTCTGCCTGGTGACATCACGTACAGACCGTGCCTTCGAAGTCGTGGGGCACAGGCTGGTGCTGTCCCCTGCTCTCGGCCTGTTCGGTCACTTCCCTGGGGGCCTTCATTCCATATCTTGAGCAGATGTTTCAGCTCCAGCATTCTGAGACTCCTCCTGCAGCCCGTGGAGGTGTCAGACTTCTGTGCCTTGGGGGGAATGGATTTTGAGGAGAAAAAACATGGGGCAGAGAGGTATGGAATAGAAAATAAATATAAATGTAACCTGTGTGGCTGTCTTATAACCATGGCAGATTAGTACAGAGAATGCCCTGTACGGAACAACACACTGAAGGCTCCAGATCGAGGTCCTCCCTTTGGGGAGGCTGAGGCTTCAGTCTCTGGCATTTGGAATGTAGGCAGCATCCTTGCTTTTGGCCAGATCGCCGGGTGTGTGGCACAGCCTGTGCTTTTCAGATTTACACAGAATGGCCACTTGGCCCAGGTAGAAGTCAATGAAGTGTTTCGTTCCACGTGTCACGTAACCACTGATGTACCTCCCCGAGACGCGTGCCAAGGCAATGAGTGTCAAAGAGGGGAACACTCCCTGGAAAGTGAGCTCCACACTGGACATGTGTGCCCTGGTTTCTAGGCCCAGCTCTTCCACAAACCGCTGGGAACTGGGGTAACCTCCACCCTCTCTTCACCTTGATATTTACCTCTGCCAGTGAACCCATTTGCGTTCCCCCTTCTCCCCACTGTGAGGGAGGTAAGATCAGAGCCCCATCATGAGGGGCTGGGGGGCTCAGGAAGAAGAACTAACACCTGCACACAGGTAAGGCCTCCTTGTGCAGTGGGAACAACCAGGTGGCGCCTGCCTGTATGGCAGCCCCATCCACCTCCTTAGCTGCTCATTCTCTCAGCCATCCCATAGCATTTATTGAATACCTGCTGCATGTCCATACTGTGCTGCCTTCCAGGGGTGCACAGTTGAACACGTCCCTGTTCTGAGAGTCCCAGGGCATCAGGCTGGCCTCACCCACAGAGGGGCGTCAGGCCTGGTGCCCCCTGCTCAGAGTGTGCCCTCTCTGTGGGCAGAGGGAAGAAGAGTCTTGCCTGGCAGCATGATTACTAAGGGCACGTTACATACATGAGAGGGGAACTGTGTCTCAGCCACTCACTCTTGTGAGCACAGGATGCTGAGCTCCCCAGATGTGGGCTGCCCCAGGCTGGGGCTGGGGAGGCCTCTGGGACCCAGCCCAGCCCCGGCTCGCTCCCCAGATCGCCCAGCCAGTCACTACCCCGTGTACCAGAAGCAGCACCTGTTCAACAGCAACCCCCACTGGGACTTCGGGGCCTTCAGGAGGCTCAGCCACCTAGTGCGAGAGACTCAAGTCAACTTCTCCAGGTAATGCAGCTGGGCTGCTGGGGGACTCGAGGGGCCATGGGGCCATGCACTTGGTCACAGCCTCCTCCTCCATGGCCAATAGGAAGACTCAGGAGAGGAGGGGAGGCTGCAGACCATGTGGGAGATGAGGCCAGAAGAGACCACAGGCAGGCGAGGCCTCCTGAGGGCACACGTTGGGGTGGGGGGGCGGGGTCACAGGCAGCTTCCCTGGACCACATTATTCATGTGTGTTGTGGGGGAGACCCTGCCATGGCTCAACGTCACCCAGACTCAGCCTGCTGAGAGCAGCCCACCAAGGCTGACTCTCTGTATTCTGGCCCTTCACCCCCAGGTTTGTCCACCAGTTCTTAGATCCGGGCACATACGTGTTTCGAGACAACGCACTTCCCGAGAGCGTTGTGGTGGTGTCGGTGAAGGAGAAGGGGATAGCCTGCGGCCCTGGCCTGTCCTCTGTGCAGCCCTCCTCCCCGTACCAGCTCTCCAGGCATGGCATCGTCAGGCACAGGCTGCCAACCCTGGGCCCAGACTGGGCCGTGATCACAGGTACTGACCCCAGACCAGAGTAGCCAGGACCTGGGGTTGGTGCCAGGAGTGTGGCACAGCAGAACCCCCAGCCCCATCTGTGACTCTGGGTACAGCCCCAAAGACTTCAGGTGTGCACAAGGACAAGCTTGCCCTTGAACTGGGGCTTCATTTGCCAGACAAAGAAAACTGAATTTCCTCCACTAGGGTCTCCTTTCTCACCCTCCCTTCTCCTCTACCTCAGTCCTGGGAGCTTCCCTGGGGAGCGAGTCCCTGCGCGGTGAGTGAGTTGCACGGTAGAGTACCAGGATCGCAGGGGTGCCTCCTGTAACCTCCTCTCTGGGTTTTCTCATCTTGTTTCCTTCTTGTCTTCATGAGTCAGCAGTCTGCACTGAGCCCTCCGGCTGAGCCCAGAGCATGGGGCATTCATGGCCCCCACCCAGGTGGGACAGAGAACACTGCCCTGCAGGGGCCAGGTGCTAAGCCACCTGGGCACAGGGCAGCCAGCAAGCCACATGAAGCACAGGGCAGTGCTGGGACCTGCCGGGAAGGCCAGCAGCAATGTCCTGGGAGGGGTCTTACATGGTGGGGTGTGGGGAGAGGAGCATTCCCAGGAGGACACCTGACATCACAAAGCCCCAGAGGCAGGAATGAGGTTGATCTACAGGGAGCTATGAGGAGTTAAAGCCTGAAGGCAGCAAGACAGAGAGACCAGGGCCAAGGGGCAAATGCAAAACGCTGCTCTCCGGGCCAGCGCAGCCTGGGGAGGTTCTGAGTGGTCATCATGTGGCCCTTCCGCTCTCCCCGCAACTTTCAGGGGTGCTGCTGGCTGTCGGCTTGGCAACTGCGCTGCTGACAGGCCTGGGCCTTGTGCTGAGCCCCCCGCTGGCCCAGACCTGCCCAGTCAGAGCTTGGAGACTCCGGGGGAGGGGCCTCAGGGAGCCTCACGTGCCTGCTGACTGCGTGCCTCTCGGGGACAGGTGAGTCCCTTTCTGCTCCTCACACATTTCCCAGCCCTGCCCCAGCCTAGGGACCGCCACTGCCCACTCTGGCCCAGCCTACACTCCTGAGCCTGGCATTGCCCTGTGGACTCAGGAAGGAACGCCCTCCTGAGCTGGCCTGTGGCGCTTGTCACCAGCTCCCCGGGTCCACGTGAGCCCTGCGCCAGCCGTGTGTGTCTGTGCGCTGAGGCTGGGGCTTCCTTCCAGCCTTACCGTCCGTGAAGACCTCGGTCCTCAGGGCTCTGGGGAAGGAGCCAGCTGCAGGCAGAGAGCCGTTCCCCGGGACACAGGTACCACGCCGGCGTGCAGTGAGTCGTCCCTCTCCCCATCCCCGCTCAGCCTGCCCTCCACACCCCCTGCACCCCAGCCACACACTCTGGGGAGCGTCTCATGTTTGTGCAGCACTGACAGTTTGCAGGACACTTCATGCTGTCCTTTGATCCTCACGACAGAGCCTAGAAGTGAGTGTTTTCAGGTGTTGTCCTGTCCCCATGTTATAGACAGAGAGAATGAGGCTCAGAGAGACGTGAGTGACTTGCCCAAGGTCCCCAGGCAGCAAGCGCTGGAGAGAGGGTGCCACTGGGTTTGAGGCGAGAGCTCTCTGGTCCTCCCTGTGCTGGTCAGGAGCTCCTGGGGCCCCAGGGCAATTCTCCAGCTGGTGGCTACCTTGCCCTAGCTCACCGCAGGGGCAGAAGCGAGGACCGTTCTCCAGGCTCCCTTTACACAATCACTCACCCACGCCTGTCAGTTCCTCTTCACACCTGGAGAACTGGGTGTTGCCTTGGTGCTCAGGAGGACCTCGGGGATCCAACCCTCCCCCTGTGGCCCCGGACCCCAGCCCCGACTGTGAGCAGGAAGTACATGCAGAGGGGCATGGAGGGAGGCTCCACGGAAGTGGGCCCTTCACCTGCTTGGGACAGCATCAGACGATGGGACAGAGGCCCTAAGTCCTCATTGACCTGGGTTCACACAGCTTGAAGGTTAATTCCACTGGTTCTTAACTGCAGAGTTGCAGGGACCACAGGAAGTGGGCTGAACGTGCAAGGGCCAGGGAGGGGGCGCAGAGAAATGAGTGGTTACAAGCATGATCATGGGATCACACCAGTACTGGAGTCTTGCTAGCTGTGTGAACCTGAACACAGGCCTCCCCATAGCACACACCCCCTTACACACACACATGCACACACATGCACATGCCACACACATGCATATACACGCCCACACGTGCACATACATCATACACATGCACAGAAGCATGCACAATCGTGCCAGAACACATACACACTGTCCAGGGCTGGGCTGGCTCTGTGCTGTCCTGACTATGCCTTTGCATGGGGCTTAGAGGCTGGTCATCCCTCTGCTGGCGACTGTTCTGGACAGTGCCGACACCAAGAACTAACAAGCCAGGACAAGTCAGCCCCTCTCACCCCATGGCGCCCCTCGTGGGTGATCTACAGGGTGGGCTGTGCTGAGTGTGGACAGTGTGGACATAGTGAGGGCTGCTAGAGCCAGAGACTGCCCCTGGCACTGTAACCGTTAAATGCAGCCTCTATTCAGGGCCCAGCACAGGGCCGCGGCTCACTGCTGAGAGCTCCCATGGGAGGAGGGGGCCCAGCGGGTCTGACCTGGGGTGCCAGGACAGGGTTCCTTTGGTCGGAGGACTGGTCCCTGAGGGGAGGGTGAAGTGCCCCTTTGCTGTGGGGCGTATGACAGGGCAGATGGAGAGGGGCATCTCGATGGAGTGGGAGGACCCAGTCCTGTCTTCTGAAGATCTGCACTCCCACCCTCGTCCCACCTGACCAGCTGGTAGCTCAGGGGACAGGTCCTAAGCTGGCCACAGAGAGGGAGGATGGAAAGCAGGCTCCGTCCGGGCCGGGCGGGTGTTGCTCTCAGAGTGAGAGCTGCCCCGTCGTATCGCCAGCATGGATGGGACTTCCCCTTCTCCCGACATGCACCCCCAGGCCTGGGACAGGGCGGCCTAGGGACTGGCAGTGGACGCTCACTCAGCTTCACATCCACGTTCCTGCAGGTGCCACCCAGCTGAGCCCCAGGCCAGCATGGGGCCTCACCCCACGTTTCTTCTTCTGCCTTCAAGACCCAGCTCCACACTCCACAGGGGAACGGCAGCTGCACAGGGGTCTCCGTCCCCCAGACATGTCCTTCTAGCAGAGCAGAGGGCGTTTGAGGGAGAAGGAGGTCAAAGGGTTAAGGCTCTTCGCGGAGGGACATTCCTAGGGATGAGAGAGAAGCCCACTCGGGCCCAGAGACTTGGGCAGGCAGCGGCCTCCATGGAGGGGCCCCGATTCGCTCTCCGGGAGGTGGCCTGGGTCACACGCCGCAGCCTGAAGGCCAGAGGAGGCCCCTTAGCCAGAGAAGCACGTGGTGAGCATCTGCCGTCTGTGGAGCGTGCGCAGGGCACTGTGGGACTCCGAGGAGAAGCTCTTCAGCCCGGCTGGACAGGAGTCCACAGAGCAGGGGGCCAGCTGGGACGAGACCTGCACAGGGGAGCACAGGACAGTTGTGGGAATGTGGGGACAGTGAGATGAGTTCAGGTGGAGGGAAGGGGTGGAGGTCACGCAGTCAGACACAGCCTGGAGGACCCAGCAAACAGCTCCCCAGGTGGTTGGCAGGTCATCCAGGACAGGGAGATCCACCCTCAGCAGAGCTCTGGGGTGACGCCAGGCCCAGACAGACAGGCTACAGGTCCTTGTCAGTCACACCCACACCACAGAAGGGGCTCTCTGCTGCCCCTGAGGTCCTCTCTCCTCCCCATGCTCGTGTCAAAACTGACCTCCGCCTTTCTTCACCAGAGCCGATGCTCCTCCCAGCATCTCTGCCCTCCTCGGCCCCTGATCCTGCTGCAGAGCTCTGAGGGGAGGAGGGAAGTGGCTGCGCCCGCACCCCTGGGCCCAGTGCCCTGCTCCTGGCTCCTGTTCATCTCACAGTCTCACTCCAAGGCCTCTTCCTGCAGGGGAGCCACACCCTGTGAACACCCTAGAGGACTTCAGCGTCCGCACACTCTATGACAAGCTTGAGGACCAGAGCCTGCACTTGGTGGCCCAGCTGAGCAAGCACAGGAGCGACGCACTGGCCTTCTACAGGGGCGCCAGCCAGCAACTCCAGGGGCTCAAGGTCAGCCCCAATTCCCAGACAACCAAGCCACTATCATCCCCACTGCCCTGGGGAACAGCCACTCAGCCCCATCTGGAAATTGCCTGAGCCAAGAAGGACACTCATAATGCAGCCCTGGTTCTTCCAGGACTTTCTGCAGGGCGTCAGCATGACCGAGCGGCAAGATCTGGGCAGAGGTGGAGACCTGGAGATGGGAGCCAAAGCCACTGCCAGGACAGACACTGGGCAGAGAGAGGAATGGTGCAGTGGTCACACTGCAGCTTCTCCAAGGGTGCGCTGGCAGCATCCTCTAGGTGAGAGGCAGGGCCTCGGGGTGGGGCTGTGACACTAGCTGGAAAGTCATAATATTAAGTCTAACTTTGTAGAGCGCCTGACTGTGCATCTCACATTTACTATCTCGCCTGGTGTTCAGCACTCCTGTGCACTAACTGACAGCATCGACCCTGAGCACCGAAGACTGTTCTGGGCCCAGGGAGGGGCGTGATTTGCGAGGGAGGGGAGACTCCGATGCCTCATGTCAGAGTGAGGTCTGGCCCAGCTCTCCTGCTGCCACGCCCACCGCCGTGCTCTAGGGCTGGCCTTGTGCAGGGCACCAGGGTGACAGGGGCCCAAAGGCTCTTGGCAGTCTCCCTAGTTTATACTTTAGCTTTGTTTTTCTAAATGGCAAAAGTCATACACACCCCTTACAAGTGTTCCATTAGTGCAGAAAGTATATAAATGGGAAGCTGGAATCCACTTGCCCCGGGAGCCTGGCAGCCCCACAGGTCTGTAAGTGAATATTCTGAATGTTCATTTGCTCTTTTGTGAACCCCATGGAAGGCCACTCCCACAACAGCTGATTCTCTGAAATGCTCCTGCCCCCAGGTGACTCTAGAGCTTTTCCTGGTTGTCGAGGCTTCTTCCTGCAGGACGTGGGGGTTGAGCTTCACTGCAGGGAAGCACGTGTTCAGTGCCCATTGGGGCTCCCAAAGTGTGGCAGGACGGGGATGGTGTGGAAGGACATCCCTGGCCGCCTGCATGCTTTCTGGCTTCAGCCAAACTCAAAGATTACAGAGTCCAAAACCACGCATCACCCTGGGCAGTTCTGGCGGACGACAGCTGTGGGTGTGCAGGCCCCCAGCTACCCCTAAATGGCCCTCATGTCCACATGTTTGGGCCACAGAACAAAGCACAGCTCCGACTGCCATTGAGGGTGACCCTGCCTTCATGTTGTAAGTGGTCTGAGTCCGTCACCCCACTTTGCTTCTGGCCCCTCTCCCACCCTGTGAGTGCCCAGCAGGGGCCAGCCTGGGGAGGGAAGGGCGTCCGCAGCTGCTGTGTGCAAGGCCGTGTCATAGTCCCCGCAGGCAGGGAAGTCCAGGACTTAGGGCTCTGTGGTCCCCTCACCCAGCAACTCTGACCAGCCAGTCCCACCCTCAGCTCTCGCTGGCAGTGGCTGCACGCTGCCGGAGACTCTGCAAGCCCCTCCTGTGCTCTGAGACAGGGGGAGTGTTCGTGCCTCCCTGGCCAGGATCTGTGGGCGCTCGAGGAGGCTGTTCCCTTCTAGGAACAAACAGCCGTGGGCTCAGCAAGGACTCCCCAGCCCCATAGCGTGATCCGTGAAGGCCTAACCTCAAGGCAGGAAAATCCAAGGTCGTTGCCGCAGGTCATCCATGTTTGAATCCACACCTCAGCATAAAAACAGCTGATCTTCCGTCTCCTGGAGCAGCTTGTCAGACAGCAGATTGTTGGCTTCTTAGAAACCAGTGGGTTGCAATTAGCATTAAAAAAATAAACTAGAAAGGAATAAAATTGAAACTATTGGAAGTAACACATGTATAAAGCTAGTCTTGCTTCCCGCAGCTCTCCTTGCTGTTTACACACACACACAGGAGGGTAGGAGCGATGAAGTCTTAGTGGGTTTGGTTCAGAAGTTTGGAAGCCACTGTCTGGGAGGAAGGCTAATAGTAGGAGAGCCTGCCCCTCGGTTCTGTGCACAGCGCCCTGGGGCTCTTGGGGGCTCTGAGACCACAGATTCGGAGGGCGCTGTCTTCTGCAGCCCCGCTCTGTTGTAAACTCTGGGCAACCATTACCTCATTTAACCCACTCAGTTGTCACGGGAAACCTCTGAGTGATATTGTCATCATCTCCATTTTATAAAGGAGGGAACTATGGCCTAATAAGGCTAAAGTTCCCCCCAAAAGTCACACAGAGAGTGACAGAGCCAGTCCTGATCTCTGCTCCATCCCTGACGCGCCCCTATGCCCCTAGCTAAAGGGCATAAAGGAACTCAGCTCACTAGCCCGAGGGCCCGTCACTCACCACCAGGCTCCAGTTCCCGGAGCCGGGGCACAGTCCTTCCCACGGAGCTCCCTGGCCCTTTTGGGGAGGCGGGCTGGCCAGCCCGGCCTGGGGTCTCATCCCTTGTTCCTCAGTGTAGATCACTCTCCACAAAGGGGTGTTTGGGGCTGAGGTCCAGGCACTTGTGTCACTTTTTGCATGAGCGCAGTCCTGGAATAAGGGGGCCATCTGTCCTCATCAGCCTTCCAGAACCCAGCCCCAGGGAAGAAGAGTCTGGGAACAGGTCAGACAGGTGCCAGAGACCCTCCCTGGTTTGTGTGTGTGTGATGAATGTGCATGTGTGCATGTGTGTGAGTGTGTTGTGTGTGCATGCCTATGTGTGCATGTATGTGGTATGTGTGTGTGGTGTGCATGTTTGTGTGTGGCCTGTGGAACCCTGGAGACCAAGCCATGATGCCAAGAACCTTCCTTGATCTTCTCTCCAAACCATTCCCCCTTCCTAAATTTCTCAGCCATACACTTCTAGGCTGGGACATGTGGCCAAGTGATCATGAGTAAGAGAAGGATAAAGAAAGCTGCTTTCCTGGGAAATTCACCTGAGACTAAGCTGTAAACCTCTCTGTCCTGAAGACCCTCTCCATGGGCGCAGAGGGAGCTGGGTGTGGAGGGCTGAGTGAAGCCTACTCCATTCCCAGCTACTGCTAACTGAAGCCAACGATTGCAACTTTTTCTTGGGGGGGGGGCACTTTTTTCCAAAAAAGTTATGTGATGAAGTTTTGGCAAATTAAAAAGAAAAAAGCAGTTAATCAACACTTTGGCGAAATTATCCTACAACCCAGAAAACTCTCTCCGGGTGGGTCTTCCAGGAAGTGTCACTGCGCAGCCAGGGGAGACCGTGCCGAGCCACGGCACTGCCCAGGCCGGGGTGTCGTGGGTGGCCTGGGAGACATGCAAGCAGAATACAGCACTTAGAAGCATAGAGCAGTCACAGGTAGCAGATTAGAAGCATAAATAAAAGATGGGTAGATCTGTAAACATGTCTGTGCTTAAAAAAACTAAGAAACAGAGTGAGATGTGTAGGAAGGGAAGAGACCCTGTATAAAAATGGAACCACTCATACACAGAACACCATGAAGGGTTCTTCATGGTTCATTCCACATACACGTAGCACACCGGAGCGACCGCCTAAAGGAAAGAGAGTGATGGAAGTGGGGTCTGGGATGAGAGAGAAACATAAAATAAAGAGGCGAGAGACACACACAACCACACACGAGCCTCCGAAAACAGGGACGAGTGAAGTCAGTGTTAGGCGGGGCATCTGTGGTCAGACAAGATGATGTGTCTGAGGTCCTTCTCCTTGTCCTTCCCCAGGCGGCACCCCCAGCATGTCTCCACTGGGCTTTCAGTCGAAGCTCGACAGAATGATTGCGGCCCTGGCATCTGCACTTTCTCACGCACGTGGGCAACCAGCCAGGGCCCACAGGAAGGTGACAGATCCCCAAGGGCCTGTGTGTACAGAACAACTACCCTGTCAGTCTGACCCCATGGAGATTCAGTAGACACACACAAGCGCGCACACGCTCACACTCACATGCATGTGCACACTATATACAACCACACACATGCACAATTACATTCACACATGCAATGCACCACACACTCAGGCCATATATTCACACTCCACATATGCAAACACATGCACTCACACACAGGTACATGACCACACACATGCACACATTCCCACTCTTACAGACTACACACATTCACATGTGCACATACATCACACACTCACACATGACATACACATACACACATTATACCACACACTCACATTCACTCGGGCCTCACACCCTGCAGGTGGCCCTGCACTCTGGCCAGAAACCCAGGTGCGCGACCTGTGCTCATAGGTTCACCCCTGGCTTCGGCTCTGGATCTCCTCCGAGACGGTTGTGGGAGACAATCTCCCCAGCCTGCTAGCTGATCTGGCCCCTCACACAGAGCCCGGGAGGGAAGCACAGCGTGTCACAGGGAACGGGGGTGCAGAGGGCCTCTGTCAAGGAGTCCCCACACGGTGCACTCACAGCGCAATAGGGCAGCATCTGTGGTGGCACGTGTCCTCGAGGGGCCTAGAGGCAGTAAAAAGGGAGACCACAAGCCCTCAGCGGGCACTTGGGGCCCCCAGGAGTGCCAGGCCGTCTGTAGCCGGGCCACACTGAGACATGCAATCACAAGCTCAGATCAGCGCACGTGGCTGTGTTGGTGAGCAGCGCTGCCCTCGTTCATCACTGTGCTCTTCTGGGCCCAGAGCCGAAGAAAACTTACAGGACTGTCCATTCTTCCTAGGCCTCCGCTCAGGGGGGTGAACAGCCTCTTCCCTCCTGTCAACAAGACCCTCAACTGGTGAGTGACACGCTCCTGAAGCCCCGGCCTCAGCCCTCGGATGAGGAGCATCAAAGTGCAAGGTGGGGGCTGGCAGTGGCACCAAGGCCCCCCGCAGCCATGTTGTTAGGGGTGGCCCTTAGCTCCCTGGCACTGAGAATCTTAGTTTCATTCATAACCAGAAACTGATTTAAAGCCTTAACCCGCTCAAATCCAGTGACAAGTGTCCGGGGCTCCCTGCCCACAGTAACCACCACTTTGTCTGCCGAGGGGTTTGCTGACGTGAGTGACTTGTCAGAACTCAGGTCATTTATTCGGGTTGTTCCCATCATGGGAGTGAGACCACATTCACTCTGGCTGACCCACCCCTCCTTGTCCCACTCCCTCCTCTGGTGCACATCTCTTCTGGGGAAGCTGTGTGGGCTCTGTTCTTCCTCCGAGCTGACTCCGAGGCTAGTGGTGGCTTGTGTGCTTGTGTTGACTGCATCTCTATCCATGTGTTTAGATGCACAGTCTGCTCTCCCCTGCATCCTCTTTTAATAATGATGAGGTAACAGTGGCTGCCAACAACAGCTGCCGGCTGTATTTACTGCTGCTGAGATGAGCACTTTATCTGCTTTCTACTTTAACCCTCACAACCGCCCCATGAAGTAGACACCGCCATCGCTAACTGCATTGAAAAGATGAGGAAACAGGCTCAGAGGTGAAGTTAAGGACGGAGCGGGGGTTCTAGCCCACGGGGTCTGGCTCTCAGAGCCCACCCTGACTGCTTCTTTGCGCTGACTTCCCCTCTAATCCCTCAACCAAAGCCTCAGTCAACCCTTTCTCCCAGAAACATCTCTATTGATTTTCTTTTTGAAGGCGCCTAGGAAGCTTATACAAATAATTAAAGTCTCCTGCAGGCCAGGGGAGAGAAATCTAGACTCTCCTGCTGAAGTCCCAGGGCCTGGGGTCCCTGGAAGATCAGGGGCTCCAGAAAGAAGGGTCAGGAAAGGAAAGGCAAGTTCAGGATCCCGAGACCTGGACTCCAGACTGGTTCTGCCCTGAACGCTGTGGATCTTGAGCAAAGCCTTTCCCACCAGCTCCACGAGCTACAGCGTGAGGATACTGTCACTCAGCAGATGTTTATTGCTGTCTCTGACGCAGGGCTGGAGGCGTCAGGAAGAACAAATGATTCTAATAAAAGGTTCTGGAGGTTTAAAGAAGTCTGCAAGGATCAAGAAAGGCTTTGTGACAGTCGTACCATTTAAGACAGGCTGTACAGCAAGGTTGGGGCCCCAAGGGCCAGCGGTGTGGGGAAAGGGTGTTCCTGGAGGGGTGGTGCTGACAGGGACGTGGAGGTGACACAGCCCAGTTCTGGCTCATGGACTGAGACCGTTCCAGAGGCCCAAAGGCTCCCTGGAGACAGTGCAGCCCTCTCATTTCAAGGTGTGGACACTAAGATTAAGACGTAGAACTGAGTTGCCCAAGGTGTCTCTGGAGAGTACCACAATGTGTTGGCCAGGGTCCCAGCACGAAGCGGCTGGCAGCTTCTAGATGAAAAACTTGATGACAATGTAATACGGGGCGATGTATAAAGGTGTGGGCAGATACATGTAACCACGCAGGTCAGTGCAGTTCCCTAGGGTGACCTCACAATTCCCTAAGCCTGAAAGACAGAGAGCAGTGACTGGAGCACAGAAGGGGCACCATGTGGAGAGGCCCTGACGGCCGCAGCCTTCAGCAGTGCAAAGCCAGCCTGATGTAGGGAAGGGGAGAAAATCCTTCCCCTCTACCCACCTCAGATTCTCCTCCTGGGTCCCTGTAAATTAGACTGACAAAAGGCAGATCAACAGGAGAAAGACAAACCGCAGTGCAGTGGCGTGTGCCTGGCCCAGACACATGGAGCCCTGGGATGAGCGGCTCAGAGGGGTGGTTGGAACTGGGGCTCAAGTAGCCGCTTAACCAAAGAACGATAACTCTGTAGAGAAGTGAAGACAAAGAAAAGGACTTTGAGCATCCAGGGGGGCAAACTGTGAGAAGGTAAACATGAGAGGGACGCGTGGCAGGTGTGGGCTGGTTTAGCAGGGTTTTGTGTAGGTTCTTCTGATGCCGTCTCTGCGCTGAAAGGATCTAGAGTTGACTCTGGTGACCAGCTTGTGTCCTTCCTGGTAGAGAGGGGAGGGGGACACCTTTAAAATGTTCGTCCTGCTCTTAGGCAAAGAGGGGAGGGCGGACACCTCTCTTGTATCTGCTGTTTCTCAAGTGCCTTCAGCTCAAAATGCTCCTTATGCCAAGTTGGCATATTTCAGGGTGGCATACCTGTCACTGAGCGATCACTCACCTGTGAGGCAGTGAAGCCTGTAGGGGTGCATTAGTCTAGCTTCAGGGAACCTAAGGGTTTGTCAGTTTCTCCTTCACTTTAACATCTCGTCCTTCTCTAATCTCAGACACCTCGGGGAGGAGTTAAAAGTGGCCAATGTCTTTTTTATTCTGGTAGGGGGGATGTACGAGTGGGCAGCAGAGGCCCAAAAGGGTGCCTCTCCTCCTCTTATTCCAGCCCCCAGAAGACCCCAGGACCTGGACGGCTCCGTCAGGGTGATGCCAAAGGAGGGGACACTGAGAGCCCAGTTTCCGGACACAGGCACGGAGCCTTTCCTGAGCTGCAGGTAGGAGCCCAGCTCTGTGACCCAAGTCCTCTCCACATCAGAGGGCGCCTGGCCCACTGCATCCTCCAGCCCCTCGCCCCACATGGGTTTGGCACAGTCCAGCTGTCCCATCTCCTACCTGCTTGTTACCTACACACCGTAGGCCACTCTGGGAGACAGAAAGCAAGTATAACATTGAGAAAAGTGACTGGGAAGAGATTTTGTGGAGAAAAAAATTAGGATTGGAGACCACTGGTCAAGAAATCACTCGTTCCATCAACAGGTGTTCATTGACTGTTAGAATACTCACAAGGGCTGGCGTGGAGCCTGTGCAGGTTTAAAAGAATTTTCACAACAATGGGAAAAATCCCAAAGGACAGCAACAATAGATATGATCACATAATAATGTAAAACAGGATTCTCTAGGTCAAAAATTGACCATTAATAGATACTTTTACTCTATTAGAAAAATATGTCAATGGTCCCACGAAAAGGAAATACAAAGAAGTAAAATTATAAGAAAAATGTTCACAGAATCTGAAAAACGTTCACTACACTAGATGCCTTTTTTAATCTACCTAAAATGTTTCACAAAGTCCTCAGTGCTTGTGAGGATTAAAGAGATGGACATCCCCCCATGCAGCTGGTTGAAGGGCAAAAAGTTAAAACCTTTCTGGAAAACAATCTGGCAATTTGTATCAAAAGCCTCTAAAATATTCCTTCCGTTTGACTCAGTATCTCCAGGTCTAAGAAGCTCTCTAAGGGAAATAATTTTTTTTTTTCTTAAAGATTGTCATCTGAGCTAACATCTGTTGCCAATTTTTTCTTTTTTTTCTTCTTCTTCCCAAAGCCCCCTCAGTACATAGTTGTATATTCTAGTTGTAGGTCCTTCTGGCTGTGCTATTTGGGACGCTGCCTCAGCATGGCCTCATGAGCAGGGCCTCATGAGCAGGGCCATGTCTGCACCCAGGATCTGAACTCGTGAAACCCTGGGCTACTGAAGCGGAGCACGCAAACTTAACCACTCGGCCACGGGGCCAGCCCCAGGGAAATAATTTTTAAATGCAAGCAAACATGAAGAAACATATTAATTGCAATTTTTTGTAATATAAAAATAAATGGAGCTGACCTAAACTTCCAATAATATAAGAGTTATCTGAATTATGGTAGAGACCTATCATGAAATATTAATGCTTCTACTAAAAATGATGGTATAGAGAAGTTTTAATGTCTTTAAAGTAAAAGATGAGGACAGAGAATTGCATATATGGCAGAGTTTCATATGTATCTGCGTATCTTAAAAGGAGAGAAAAGAACAGCAGAGAAAGAGAGGGCCCTGGAGGCAGAGCGAGCCCAGCCAAGGCAGGGAGAAAGACTGCAGTGTGAGAGCGAGGACTGGCAGATGGGTTAGCCTGTGCGGCAGGACCAACCAGGCAAAACCTCAGCAGTCCACAAGAGTAAGTGTCAGCCTCAGCTGATCGGTCCAGCTCGCCCGGCAGCTCCAGTTCCAGATCTCAGGGTGTGTGCGTTTGGCAGGGCCCCAGCTCTAAGGTGGGCTTGCCTGGGGCGCTGTAGTGGGCTAGTCTGGACACATCCTTCTCATGGCCGTGGCAGAATCCCAAAAGGCTTTGAGGCCCAGGCTCAGGCCTGGCACAGTGACTTCTGCGTATTCTAATGGCCAGAGCAAGTCAGAAGCTGGAACCCAGCATCAAGGGGTGAGAAAAATGTGCCCCCAGTGGGAGGGCAGAGAGAGGGGCAAAGATCAGGGCCCTCAGCACAGCCTACCTCAGTGGATTAGGATGCCATTAATGCACTCATTCAGATGCTTACATATTATATTTACTAATATTCCATATTGAACAAGGGTTGCCTTTCAAATTAGAAAAACGAAACTTGGGAGAGTTTTTGTTCTGGCATGTTTTTGTTTTTCATTGTCTTTTTAATCAAAAGATACTAGGGCAGATCTGTGTGAAAGGGAAGAGAAATGGGAAGTAAACCTATGAAACATAGTTTTTTGTCAACAGAGCAGCCTCAGAAATCCCTTTTTGGCTCACTCACTTACAAGTGACCCTGCTTCTAAAGGTGCAGCACGTCCTCCGGCTCTCGCTGGCGCGGCTCCCGCGTGCGGCTGGGTGGGCACGGACTGAGGAACTCTTTCTATGAGAAGAGCACTTGTTCCTTCAATCACATTGTTATGCTCTTGACATTTTTTCATTTCTAGATTTCTCTTTGTTTCCATAATGTTCTTGTTCTTGCCTTATGGACTCTATTCCTTCTTTTGTCTTTCTTCACACTTTAAACATGTTTATATGCCAATCATGCTTAGATCTCACTGTTATCTCTAGTTTCTTCGGTGTATTTTCATTGTGTCTACTGGCTCTCTCACCATTGGGTTTCCTTCCATGTTTTGTGTTTTCACCTTCAGTGGGACTGTCCTCTGTGCGGGCCTCCCTGTGGAGCAATTGTGGTTGTCTCTACTCGCATGCTATGGGGTTCCCTGCTTTCTGTCCTGTTTGTAGATTAGTTTCCACATCTCCCACCTGGGTAGAGAGTTCTGGCCTCCTGCAGGGTGCTGCACAGCCCCATGGTTCCAATTTCTCACATCAGTTCTGTTCCAACCTCAGGCCTGAACAAGAAGCCTGCTCAGCCACGGGGCTATGTGCACAGCCAGATGCAGGTTTTTTATTCCAGTTAAGAGAAGGGACAGCCACTTTTTGGGTCCAGACTTTAAGCAGGCAGTGCTGGACCAGTTCCTACCATAAATGACCTTGTGGCCTCAAGGCCTGACAAAGGGAGGAGTTAACGCCTCAGCCTCTAAGGAGGAATACCCACATGCCACATGCCTTCAACTCCCTCCTACCTCTGACTTGTCTCTTCATCTCCTCACTCCCATTCAAATGTGGTCCTGCATTTGTATTTTTATTTACTTATTTATTTATTTATTCATTTATTTATTTATTTTATTTGAGGAAGACTGGCCCTGAGCTAACATCTGTGCCCATCCTCCTCTACTTTATATGTGGGATGCCTGCCACAGCATGGCTTGATAAGTAGTGTGTAGGTCTGTGTCCAGGATCTGAACAGGCAAACCCCAAGTTGCCAAAGCAGCATGCAAACTTAACCACTGTGCCACTAGGCCAGACCCTGTGAATTTGTATTTGTATTTTGTCTGGCATTTCATGTATGGAGCAAAGGGTAGGCTTTCTGTGACAGCTGAGTTCACCCTGCTATCAGACGTTGTATTAACTCATGGGATGCCCCACAGATAGCTCAATTTAATATGTTCAAAAGCAAACCCATCAGCATCCACAATGTCCTATGAACTCTTGGATCCTTGCTTCTATCTTTCTGCTTCATGACCCTTAGCACATGACTTTCATCTTGATGGTCACTTGTGGTCACAGGATGGCTGCTGGAAGGGCCAAAACATAAAAGGGCACACAGGCCAACTAAATGAGCTCTCTTTTTAAAGAGGATTTCCAGAATCCATCCCTGCAACAACTTTCTTTTACATCTCATTGGCCAAAACTTAGTCATATGGTAATCTCTATATATAAGAGATTCTGAGATAAGCAGTTGTTCAGTTGGGCACAAGACACTCCCAACAAATTGAGTTCTATTAATAACAAAGTCTCTGCCAGGAGTGATGTCAGCATCATGGTGGAGTGAGCTGCCCCAGTAATCTCTCTCCTCCAACATACAATGAAAAGGACATCCATACTCTGACAGAGGACATGCAGACACAACACAAAAAACATCTAAGAGACCCACGCAGTCATGCAACAGAGGGTGGAGAGGCTGGACCCCTCAGGGGAAGTGGAATGGGGTAAGAGAAAACTTCACTCCCTCCCCTAAAGACTGTAATCCAGGACCGCGGGAGGTCTACAAGAGGGAAGGAAAGGGGGAGGGGACATTTGTTCACAGGAACATCAAGGGTCAGTAGTGGGCTGTTGCAGCCTAGAGGGAAGCCCCCTATGGGGGTGAAAGCTATCATGAGGCTCATCAAGCCAGCACCCCAGGAGAGCAGATGGTGAGGGCAGAGCAAGAAAATCCCAAGAGCACGCAGGAGAAGGCACCCCTCACCAACCCACACAGCACCAGCTCCAGAGCCTGGGATCTTGGCTGAAGGTAGAGGGCTCAGAATACGTGGATCTTGACCCCAACCCAGTGGCGATAGGTGGTAACTGCTACCGAAAAAACCAGGATGTCAAAAAACAGAGCTACACCCTCTAGCAATATCAAACATTACATTAGATCTCCAGACCAGAGAGAAAACGATAAGTACCCAGAAATCAGTCCCAAGGACACAGAAATGTATAACATAAATGACAAAGAATTTAAAATAGCTGTCATCAAAAAACTCAATGAGTTAAAAGAGAATGTAGAGAAACAAATCAACAAGTTCAGCAGCTACTTCACAAAAGAGATTGCAACTATAAAGAAGAATCAATCAGAAATATTAGAGATGAAAGACACAATGGAAGAAATAAAACAAAATATGGATTCTCCGAACACTTTAGCAGACACCATAGAGGAGCATGTCAGCATAATCGAAGATAGACATGTTGAAATGCTCCAGATAGAGGAGGAGAGAGAACTAAGACTGAAAAGAAGTGAAGAAAGTCTCTGAGAAATATCTGACTGAATAAGAAATGCAACATAAGAATTATAGGTATTCGAGACGGAGAATGCAACAGAAAGCTTGTTCAAAGAAATGATAGCAGAGAACTTCCCAAACCTAGGGAAGGATACAGAAATCCATTTGGAAGAAGTTATCTGATCTCCTAAATATGTCAAAGTGAAAAGACCTATGGCAAGGCATATAGTAGTGAAACTGGCAAAAGTGAATGACAAAGAATATTAACAGCAGCAAGGCAGAAGAAAATAACCTATAAAGGAACCCCTATCAGGCTTTCACCAGATTTCTCTGCAGAAACCATACAGGTTAGGAGAGACTGGAGTGACATATTCAAATCTTTGAAGGACAAAAGCTTTCAGCCAAGAATACTCTATCCAGCAAA